AGGCCCAAAACATAATATTTGGGAATATAGTTGCCCTTTTATACTTTTAATGATTGTCTTTTGAAATTGTCTGTTGTAAGTTTTATGTCCCTTTGTCTGACCGCAGAGAGAGAAAAGGGTGCGTTTTCCTGGAATTTAGAGAAAGGGGAGCACAGAGGAAACCCTGAGGTCAGGGAGGTTGTAAAAAGGTCCTGGTCATAGACCTATTCTTCTCATTCGGACGTGGCGATATAAAATTGTCTCTTTTGTTGACGGGATTATCAATTTATGTGTCCGCCGCCTATCAGCCAATGACTTCGCAGGCAGCGTTTGTTCATGAATGTAACTCATAAAACTGATATAGGACATGCTTCTGAGGCAGCTTAACGGTTCAATGATCTACAACAAAATAGAACGAGCTTTGGTGATAACTAAGCAAATATTCAATGATTTATTTGATCAACCATCATGGGATAGAACACATAGGATTGTGGGTATCAAGGCAGCGAAGGATGCATCTATTCTGCCTTTAAATATCGACCAGATGAAGGTATCTCAGGATGCAGGAAGTTAAGCTAACATTGGATTCAACGTGTCTTAATGCCTTCCTAACTTGAAATGTGTCCTCCAAAGGCAGCATTTTCCAGTTTCAGATGCAGCCGTTAGTTCAGTGTTGATTCTGCTCCGGTACCAGACACGCTTGTTCTGTCTAGGGCTAGAAGACAGCTGCAGTGCAACAGTCCTAAATGAAACAGCCCCTCCTAACTTTACTTTTATGAGTGTATGCAGAGCTGTTTGGAGAGGAGGAGGTGTAGCTGCTCTCTTTAAAGATGTCGATCAATGCAAACAAGTGCCATTTGGTCATTTTTTGTCTTTTGAATATATAGGTATTGTGCTGAAAGTTGCTCCACGCATTCTATTTATCATTATTTACGGGCCTCCACGATACTCTCCAGCCTTTGTTGAGGAGTTTACTGAACTGTTATCAATGATATCCTCAGAGTTTGACTGTTTTGCTATTGCTGGGGATTTTAATATTCATATAGATAATGCAGAAATCAATACTACAAAAGAAATGATAACTGTTTTAAACAATTTTGACCTGATTCAGCATGTGCATGAACCCACACACAATCGTGGACACTTTAGATTTACTCATCAGTAAGGGTCTAAACATTCAATCTATTGTTATTAAGGACGTAGCACTATCTGATCACTTCTGTATTTTCTTTGATATATTGAACTCTGCTACGGCTGAATCTAGATCTGTGTCTGTCAGAAAGAGATGCATAAATGAGAACACTAGTGTGCTATTTCTGAAGGCTATATCTTTAACACCAAGCATATCTGCAGACTCTGTCGATCTTCTGCTTGATTCCTTTAACTCAAAAGTTAAGAATGTTATTGATGATATTGCTCCTGTGAAAGTCAGGAAGAAGACTGGCAGACAAAAAGCACCTTGGAGAAACTCAACAGCAGTACATAGTATGAAAAGACAAAGCAGAAAAGCTGAGCGGATGTGGCGGAAGACGAAACATGAAATCTATAAAGACAGCCTTCATCAATATGGAACTAGGCACAGCTAGACAGACCTTTTTCTCAAACCTTATAAACAGTCATTTAAAAAACACTCACACTATTTTTGCTACTGTTGAGAGACTAACAAACCCCCCAAGTCAGTTTCCCAGTGAAATGCTTTCCGACAGCAAATGCAATGAGTTTGCTTTCTTCTTTTCTGAGAAGATCATAATATCAGAAAGGCACATCCTCAAGTTATGCAGAGGTCAGACAGATTCGACCACAATCTCAAAAAGAAGTTAATATGTCTGTTTTTGAAGAAATTGAAAGCAAAATTTCAGAAGAAATAGTACAACACCTTAAATCGTCAACCTGTTACCTTGACAGACTTCCCACATCTTTCTTCAAAAGTGTGTTTAACTGTTTAAAAGCAGATCTCTTAGAAGTGGTAAACACCTCACTTCTTTCTGGGACTTTTCCAAACTCCCTGAAAACTGCAGTTGTTAAGCCCCTCCTGAAAAAGAGCAATCTTGATAACACCATATTGAACAACTATAGACCAATATCAAATCTTCCTTTTATAGGCAAGATTATTGAAAATGTTGTTTTTAATCAGCCGAACAACTACTTAAACTCAAATGGATACCTGGACAATTTTCAATCTGGTTTCTGACCACATCACAGCACAGAAAGGTGACCATAAGTCTAAGTGGACGTCTGTTCTTACGCCACTCTTGTTCAGTCTGTACAGTATATGCTCCCACTGAGTCAAATAATGAGAAAGAACCAAATTGCCTATCACAGCTATGCAGATGATACCCAGGTTTACCTAGCCTTATCGCCAAATGACTACAGCCCTATTGACTCCCTTTGCCAATGCATTGATGAAATTAATAGTTGGATGTGCCAAAACTTTCTTTGAATTACCATTGTGAATTAAATGTGCTATATAAGTAAACTTGCCTTGCCTTGCTTTGCTTTGCTCAAAATTTTAAGGAATATTGAGATGGGTCTGGCTGCAGACATGCACGTGCAGTTGTGGCCTAATGGTTAGAGAGTTGGACTTGTAACCCGAAGGTTGTGGGTTTGAGTTTCAGGTTTGGCAGGAATTGTCGTGGGGGGAGTGAATAACCAGCGCTCTCTTCCACCCGTAATAAAACGACTGACGTGAGACCCTTGAGCAAGGCACCGAACCCCCAACTGCTCCGGGTGTGTGTTCACGGTGTGTGTGTGTTCACTACTGTGTGTGTGCAATTGGATGGGTTAAATGCAGAGCACAAATTCCGAGTATGGGTCGCCACACGTCACTTCACTTTCACTTTGACACTCAGACTTGCACTCTCAGACACCTGCGCTTCTGCTAGTGACGTCACTTGCAATCTTTTTTATTTTTTATTTATTTTTTACTTTTTTAAATTGAATCTCTCAAAATTATACAACAGTAGCCAGGTAGTGAAGACAAGAAAAAATAAACAAAATTACAATGTCACTTGTAATCACTACCTGCACTCTCTGCTAACGTCACTTGCAATCGACACAAATCGTGCATGTTGCCAATAGAGACAATACACTGTGGTTTTTGTTGTTGCTTATTGTTGACGTAAACTATTTACGTGCATTAAGAAATGCATTAAATTGAAATTAAAAGGACCAAATCCATACAGGCAAGCAGACGAGGCCAGAACACAATGTGTTAAATTGCACGTTAAATGTTTTCCTCCCATAGAAGATCATTATAAATAAAAGCTCTATGACAGTTTATTCTATATGGGAAAATGCTTTTATTCTGGGCTCATCTCCTTGCCTGTACATATTAATTATGTTTTAATAATGAGGAGGATTATATTGAGTTTGGAGCAGAAGCACAGGTGTCTGAGAGTGCAAGTGCATGTCTGCAGCCAGACCCTATTGGGAATATTAGCTATAGCATATAGCTATATATATGAGTCTTTCTGCTGATGAGAGGCTTGGTCACTGCAGAGTGTGCTTTCTGTTCGACTTCTCTTAGACGTGCCGAGACAGATCCTTACCCTGTTCAGCACTGAACAGGCAAGCAATTCCAGCTGCAGTGTTGAACCGATTCCCCATTGACAATCTCCACATTATCCTGTCCTCTCATGCATTTGTCTTATGTGGAAGACCAGCCTTTTTGGGGGGACTTGAACTAGTGTCATTGTAAAGCTGCAATATTTGAAAAATCACAGATTTGGAACAACCAACTTCTCTTGCAATGGCTGAAAGGGTCATCCCTTTAGCCTTCATCTGGACAACCTCCTGTCCCAGGCTTTCAGTCACCTTAGAGCGGCCCAGCATCTTGCAATCTCAGTGAAATTTGGAGGAGTGCTGTCAGCTAAACAGGGTTTGTCATATAATTAAGGAAATTAGCAACAGGTCCCAGATTAACGCCAATAACTTGGAGATATCTGTATATGTTCTCTAATTTTGATCAATAATCGTGAGTTCCATACCAACTACCCTGTCCGTCCTGCATCCAGAGGTTGAGGCCACCCCGTCATTGCCCATCTCAGTCTTTGGGAGCCACCCAACTTCCCGAACTGCACCTTCAGCAACAGATCCCATAAATCCTCCCACACAATCTCAATCGCCTGAACTCGGTACACCTGTTGCATCACATTATGGCCACACATAAACCAGCACTTCACCAACACTCAGCGTCTGGTCTCTTCAACCACCTAGGTGTGTTACTGCCCAACTCCCTTTGTTCAGCTCGCTATCCTTTACCTGCAATCATCTTCAGTTCTTTATCATCTGTCCTGATTTGGATCATCTACTTCTCATCATCAGTTCAGCAAGGACTCCATTTCAAGCCTGTTTTACCATCTAAGTTACAATGCACCACTACCATCTACCAACTCACCTGCTCCAGCCTGTTTTGCTCATTTCTGTCAATAAAGCCTGTTGCACTGCACTCGTGAAGTCTCCTCTCCTGTTTTGTGACAGAAACTAATTATGTTTGTATATATTTCATACAAAATATACATTGATTTTCTAACTTTGATTATCCCCATTTCTTTGTGTTTTAGGTTCTGTCTGTCAGACAGCAGCAGGAGGAAGTCATAGACCGAATGCAGTGTGAATGTGTGTCTCTACAGCAGGACATCTGTGTTACTGAACTCAAGGTAATTTAAAATTACACTTGTACTATAGGCCTATATTTTTTGCACTTCACATTAAAATGTTGGTAACCTGTAATTTTATAGGTCAGTCTTAAGAGATAGTTCACCCAAAACTGAAAATTGTGTCATTATTTACTCACCTTAAAATATATATACTTTTGTGTTCAAGCAAAGAAAGAAATTCATGCAAGTTTGGAACAACTTGAGGGTGAGTGAGTACATGAAATAATTTTTGGGTGAACTATCCTTTCAGTATTTTTGGGCAGCCTCCCATATTTGTTGTCATATGCTATGTGGCTTTTAAAATGTTGATTTTAATGGGCCACAGGCTTTCATAAGTATCATTCTATTTGAAATACATTTATTAGGTAAAATATCATTTAAAGGCCTTCTGATTTTTTTTTATTAATGCCATTAACCTTTAGTTACATGACCGTGATGAATGAATCACAGTTGACTACCTGCCATTTCTAGTCAGGTGACAGAAGTTCTGGGGGAGGGACATTTTCATTTTAAAGAACATTTTAAAAAGTGATATCTCAAAAAGACATGGACAAATAGCCACAAAACTTCTGTTTTAATTTCACTGGGTCTTTAATCAAACATTAATCAGTGAGATTTGGTGTGTAAATGTGTACAACAATGTGTTTGTACTATAATTGTCATTAATTTGTAGTAAAACATTTTGTCAACCATGTTTGAAGATAAAACTGTATTTGTCCTGTAGGAGAACCTACTGTCTGCTGCAATGGAAGACCAGGTAGCATATTTGGAGAAGGTTCCAGATGAGATCTTTATTGTAGACTGCCCATATCCTGAACTCCAATCAGATCTTATCCACAGCTTTAATTCTCTCACTGAGAAATATAAACTCAGATTAGCGATAGTGGAGACCAGACTGCAAGGCCTGGACAGGTAACATACTTATTATTATTATTAACTCTTTATTATCACCTACAGTGGCCATGACTTGTTCCAAAACTATGTACAGTTAGAAAGTTGTTTTTTAAACAAATCCATGAGGGGCCATTTATTGCAGGCCATTGTTAGGAATGATGCTAAACTTGATCACAACGGTTTTGTAGAACTTTTATTTATTTTTTTAACTTCGAGGCAGAAGCAGGCTGGACCTGTATAATCCTGGAAGTATTATCTGTGAAGTGTCATTTGTATACTTTGTCCGTTTGTCTCAGGAATTGTGGCTGGAATGCAGCAGATCATGAGTGTTTCCAGCACATAATGAGTCAGTATTCCCCAAGTCTGCGGAACCAGCGCTCACTTTACATTGACATGTTGCAGAGAATGCTGCCACATATATCCAAACAGGAACTGGTCAGTACTCCTGCATAGAATGGTCTCCTTTTGTCTTTCTCTCTCTGGTGAGGTCTGGTGTGCTTCGTAGGCGGCAAGTTGTGCAGAGTCACCCATACATTAACCCTTATGCACATACACGTAGGGTTGACCTATTCTGACCAAACAATAGTATATCCTAGCCCAATATATACCCATATACACGAAATATGGAACATTTTTGTAAAAACTGAATGAACTACCTAAAAAAGCATTAGAAATGTATCCGGTAATAAATTAACATCTGTCTGTTTTGGTGTCTCTATTCAGAAAGAAATTCATATGGGTGGGGCTTAAACCAGAAGTTCGTCAAAACTAAACGAAAAGCTTATTTTTTAAGATGTAGGATGATTTTCTGTTTATAGTTTACATACAGTAAATATGCCTTGTATAATTCATAAAATTACTTTTTATTTTTTTTCTATTATTATTATTATTATTACTTTTATGTAAAATAAAGCTACTGTGTGTAAAATGCTTGTTGGTGGGGATGTGGATTCACCTCAGTGACACTGAAAAGATGCATTTAAAATAATTTATCTGATTTATCTGACCCTGTCTGTAGGTTACATTGCTTTACCAGTAGGTGGCAACAAGTGACTTAGAGTATATAACAGAAGTGAGTACACTCCTGGGCAATATAGCAAACAAATATCAAATGATTCAAATTAGTATTAACTCTCAATAATTGAAGTTGACAAGCAGAATAATTCATTTTATGAAAAATCAAAAACAAACATACTGAACATAGTTTCAGCAGTAATCAGATGGTGTAGAATAAGCCACAGTACCATAATCAGAGCTGTAGAGTCTATACTTCTAAATGATGCTACAGACAGTGTGCTACTTTTACAATCTATAGATTCATGGTGCATTTACCAAAATACTGGACGACAAGATGACTGATAATGATCTAAATCACACTTAAATAGTTTCTTTCTTGTTTCTAAAGAAAAATAAAAAAACTGACCTGGCCAAGTATGTCACCTGACTTAAGTCCAATACAACAACAACATCATATATAGCAATAAACCCCTCCAGCAATCAGCTGCTGAAAAATCAATCAATCCAGCAATCCAGAAATGTGTGCAAAACTGGTATTCTTCATATCAAGGAGGATTGAGTCTGTGTTTAGAATTGAGATATTTGAATATCAGTAATAAAAGGTGTACTGACTTTTGTTCCATTGAGTTTGCTCTGGGGCCTGCATTTTTAATTTAGTAAACTTGAGCTATTAGATTTTTAATTTTAACAAACAGCACTTACTCTACTGTTCAACTGTTCAACGTAGAAGGTGATATATTTTTTTAATAATTTGACATTTAAGTCATATTGCACAGAGATGTACTCGCATCTATTTTACTGTATACTGTACTCTAATGTTGCTTAGATGCATCAGATTTGTTGTGAGCAGGCTTTAAACTGGCCCAGGAACAGCAGCGCATGGGTTGTTCTTGTCATATCATGTGGATTTTTTGTTTTCATTTTGTCATTTAATGATATTTCAACAGACAGATGATGTCTAAGTTGAGGATGTCATCACAGCGATAAGGTTTCATTTGTTCACTTTTACTAACAACAAATGAAGAGGTGATTCTAGGATTTTTTCTACTGTGGGGCACAAGAGGGGCCACGATTACTACGGAGAGGCCAATCTTCCTTGTGTATTTATATGACAGACTGTAGATAGCCAAATCATTAAAAAATTGGTAAGCTTTAAAATCAGCTGCAAACCCTAACCAAGTTATATACACTTGTTTAGAAAGTAAGAAAGAAAGAATTCCATGGGTATAAAGCTTCTTGCATCAAACCCCAAAAGACTTGATGCCGCAATCGCTGCTTAAACGTGCTTCAACTAAGCTGGGGTCTGAATACTTATGTCAGTCTGTTTCCTGGTCATGCTTGTCAACAGTCACTGTATCTGTGGTTATTTGTTATATTGCAGAGTGCACATGAGCGTCAGAGCGACTGGTATCATTTCAGCATCTCACAGAAGAATCTGATACTGCAGGGCTGGCAGCGGGATCACTCAGAGCTTCTCCTGAGGGCTCTGAACATGTTGGAGGACTGCATAATATCTCACATACAGCAGCAGGAAGTTCAGAAACAGCGCTCACACCAGCAGAACATCTGTCTCAAGCTCAGAGCAAAGGTTTTTACATTTAACATCTTAAGATACTGCCACACTATATCTTCAGTTTTTAATTAAAAATACATTACAAATAACACATTCAAAATCAGAAATTTACTCCACTTGTGTGCAATGCTTTAAACCTTTACTTTTTAATTTTGTGATCTTTAAATTCAGTCATGAGGTGTATCTGGGAATCATATTGCAGGTCACAATTCTCCAACCTTAAGATTTTGTATGCACCAGAATGCGTAATTTCACATGAGCTTACATTTCCAGTCTCCTGTGAATGGAAGTCAGACCTGTGGTGAATGCTTGAGGATCCTGTTTGGAAAATATTAATTTTGCAATTCCATTTAGTGGAATAGGAACACACAGAGCAGGATTAGAGTGTACTGTCTCTTTGCAGCAGCCCAACACATCTACACTTCTCTAGTTTCTCTCTGTATATTTCTTGCTCTCTTACTCTCTATATCAGAACACAGCTATGCTTTTACTGGATGAGAAATTTCCAGTAGACACCAGAGAGAAGTTTGATGATATGTGAAAATACTTTGCATTTTATAAGTATTTCCTGTGTAAATCTTCTATAGCTTCAGCTCAAAGTCAACAATCAGTCATTTACCATATGGGTGAGGAAGGGATAGAATGCAATAAGATTCTAGCAGGGAGTTTGTCAGTCTATACTGAACATGTAAATTACATGAGAGTCTGTTAATATTGATATGCATAGTTGCATAGTTGTCAAAATTAATTTCCTGCCAGTGGATGCTGGCCGAAGAAGTGTGTTTTAGAGTATGTGAGGGTCAATGGTTTAACGATTCTGAATAGATCCATATGCAGTCAAGATAAGGCAACTGCCATCTCCCTGTGGTCCTGTTTGGTATCACAGCTTGACTAGTGCTTATTGGTATTAAAAATTATCAAACCAAATGTATTTATTTTCCTTTCACAGGTTTTGTTGTTGCACTAAATACATACATTGTGAATTATGAAAATTAAAAAGTAATTTTTACTATTGAAAATTAGGGAGTGGGGGAGGCGCCATTGTGTGCATTGTGTCAAAAGGGAGGCCCACTGCCTTTGACTTTGCAAATCCTTGCCTTACAGTGAAAATGACTCCATTACAAGTTACAATTGACCAGTTTGAATGATACTTGAGCAAAAGTCTTAGCATATCTGATTTTAACAATACTTAAGTATTTTACTTGTACTGAATATAGGCTCAAACATGCAATAGTCCTCAACATTTAAGGCAGGGGTTTTCAACCTGTGGGGCCCAGCACCTGTCAAGGGTGACATTCCCTTGAGGATTTATGAATATGAGTTAGCAAATCTTTAGCCATCCACTAGGGGGCAATCTGACTCCCACTGCTAGTCGACAGTTAGAGCAGAGTTGGCTCGAGTATCAGTCACGCTTATTGACAGTGTAAGATTATTTACGGTTAGCCATGTCGGAAATCCAACCACGGATTGGCATGTTGTTATCTCAGAAACAGGCTCAGCCATCACATTGAATCAGGTAAACTGGTTATATATTTATGTTTCAGTATAATAAGCACGCTATACCATAAAGGGTTTAGAAAAGGACGGTTCTAAACCCTTTTTAGGTGGGTTTCAGCCCCCCTATCTGTCACCTTAGCCCCCCAAAACTATCTTAACCCTTTAGGCGCTAGTGATGTTTGGAAAAATGCTGGATTTTGACATCAAGATTTCAAAAGCTTGTGGCTTAAAGATAGAGATCTACTGTAAATTAGAAAAATGTTGGGCATGACCGAAAGTTTATGTGGGGTGTAAATATACTCGTCTAATTTGCATATTATGACGTCATCATGGGCGGCCATCTTGAATTTCAGAATATTCAGGAAATAGTAGATATTGAATAGATGTTTGAACTTATTTGCACGTTTTTTTTTTGTCTTTTTATCCTCATTCCAAATGATCAGAAAAGAGGAAACCAACAATAAAACAGATGAAAGTACTACATTATTACTATATTACTATACTACATAGTAGTAAAATGCATGCGAACAGTAGCCTATTTTTTGATCAGTTCATCAGTAATATTCAGGAAATAATAGATATTGAATGGATGTTTGAACTTATTTGCATGTTTTTTTTTCTTTGTCTTTTCAAATGATCAGGAAAAGAGGAAATCAACAGTAAAACAGGAGAAAGTAGTAAATTATTACTATATTACTGTGCCATAGTAAAATGCATGTGCCTATTTTTTGATCAGTTGACCAGCTATCTGCCCAATCAGGTATCTAGGTGACACAGTTTATAGTTCTTGAGAGTATGGTACCTCTCATTGCATGGCACAGCACACAGACCTTACCTCACACTGACTGCACCGTGTACCGCGGCCACTCCCACCTCTTTGGGGCACTGGATCCAGAGCTGCTCTGACTGGATCCAAAGAGCTAGTGCTACTTCCAGACCTGTCTTCAACTTTTTATTATCCATTTGGCAATTTTTTCTCACAAATCTCACAATTTACTCGCACGCTATGAACTGAACTGCTTCCGCATCAATGACACGATGGCTCACTTGCTCTGCTATTTCCTCGAACACTTTGAATAGTAATGTACGTAATTTTGGTCTAGAATTGAAGTACTACATGTCTGCCATCTAGTGGTAGGGAATACAAATGAGATATTACACCATATTAGGAACTACAGTCTATT